GCGGCCAACAGAGAAGCAGGCAGCAGTGACGCCGACCAAGGAGCAGTCGGCGACCGGGCAGTCGGCAGGGGAGCCGACCATAGGGGAGAAGTCGGCTGGGAAGCCGACCACAGTGGAGCAGTCGGCTGGGATGCCGGCTGAGGAGCAGCAGGACGCCGAGGGCAGCGACGACAGTGACGATGGAGGAGACGCCGCGGCGGTCCAGCAGGGACCACGGCGTTCCGGCCGACTTCGGAGGCCGCCTGACTTCTTCGTCCCCGCTGCCTTCACCACGGTGTACGACGTGGATGATGAGGCCGACGACCTGCTGTACGACGATGCCGAGGAGGATGAGGAGTTTCCAGAGCTCGACCCCGACATGTTAGCCGACCCCGAACGCCGTTGGGACATCTCGACGATGACGGTGAAGGAGGCGTTGGTGAGCTGGAAGGGCCCGGCGGTGAAGGCCGCCATGGAGGAGGAGATCCGCAGCCTCATCAACATGGGCACTTGGGAGCTAGTCGAACGCCCGCCGGGGGTAAACGTCATGAAGAACCGGTGGGTGTTGACGACGAAGTACCACATTGACGACACCGTCGAACGAGAGAAGGCGAGGCTGGTCGTAAAGGGCTTCACACAGATGTATGGTGCCGACTACGACGAGACGTTCGCGCCGGTGAGCAGCTACGTGACGCTGAGGATTTTCCTCAGCATTGTCGCTGTCCTCGACCTCAACCTGATGCAGCTCGACAAGAAGAATGCCTTCCTGCAGAGCAAGCTCGATTGGGTATTGTACATGTCTCAGCCGGACTACTTCAACGACGGAACCGGCCGTGTGTGTAAGCTACTGAAGAGCCTGTACGGGCTGAAGCAGTCGCCGCTGTTGTGGTACTTGGCGCTCAACGATGTGCTGGTCGGCGGGGTGATGGAAAGCGGGAGAATGGGGCGGGGTGATGGAACACGGGAGAATGGGGCGGGGTGATGGAAAGCAGGAGAATGGGGCGGGGTGATGGAAAGCGGGAGAATGGGGCGGGGTGATGGAAAGCGGGAGAATGGGGCGGGGTGATGGAAAGCGGGAGAATGGGGCGGGGTGATGGAAAGCGGAAGAATGGGGCGGGGTGATGGAAAGCGGGAGAATGGGGCGGGGTGATGGAAAGCGGGAGAATGGGGCGGGGTGATGGAAAGCGGGAGAATGGGGCGGGGTGATGGAAAGCGGGAGAATGAGGCGGGGTGATGGAAAGCGGGAGAATGGGGCGGGGTGATGGAAAGCGGGAGAATGGGCGGGGTGATGGAAAGCGGGAAAATGGAGCGGGGTGATGTAAAGCGGGAGAATGGGGCGGGGTGATAGAAAGCGGGAGAATGGGGCGGGGTGATGGAAAGTGGGAGAATGGGGCGGGGTGATGGAAAGCGGGAGAATGGGGCGGGGTGATGGAAAGCGGGAGAATGGGGCGGGGTGATGGAAAGCGGGAGAATGGGGCGGGGTGATGGAAAGCAGGAGAATGGGGCGGGGTGATGGAAAGTGGGAGAATGGGGCGGGGTGATGGAAAGCGGGAGAATGGGGCGGGGTGATGGAAAGCGGGAGAATGGGGCGAGGTGATGGAAAGCGGGAGAATAAGGCGGGGTGATGGAAAGCGGGAGAATGGGGCGGGGTGATGGAACGCGGGAGAATGGAACGGGGTGATGGAAAGTGGGAGAATGGGGCGAGGTGATGGAAAGCGGGAGAATAAGGCGGGGTGATGGAAAGCGGGAGAATGGGGCGGGGTGATGGAAAGCGGGAGAATGGGGCGGGGTGTTGGAAAGCGGGAGAATGGGGCGGGGTGATGGAAAGAGGGAGAATGGGGCGGGGTGATGGAAAGCGGGAGAATGGGGCGGGGTGATGGAAAGCGGGAGAATGGGGCGGGGTGATGGAAAGTTGGAGAGTGGGGCGGGGTGATGGAAAGCGGGAAAATGGGGCGTGGTGATGGAAAGCGGGAGAATGAGGCGGGGTGATGGAAAGCGGGAGAATGGGGCGGGGTGATGGAAAGCGGGAGAATGGGGCGGGGTGATGGAAAGTTGGAGAGTGGGGCGGAGTGATGGAAAGCGGGAAAATGGGGCGTGGTGATGGAAAGCGGGAGAATGGGGCGGGGTGATGGAAAGCGGGAGAATGGGGCGGGGTGATGGAAGGAGGGAGAATGGGGCGGGGTGATACAGGAGGGGGAGGTTTAAATGGGTAAATATTACTAATGTCGCCAAGGAAGATGCATTAAATAAGTTTGTGAAAGAATATCTTGGAGAAGAAATACCTTTCACGGTCACGAGGGTCCTCTTGTAGGCTGGCTTGCACCTTTAGAAAGTTGTGATTCGACTCTGCTGCGTTGTTGTTACTGGTCGACAATGATGTGCAAAACTATAAGATTGGCCTTGAACAATTATTTTTTTCAGAATTATATTCTTATACCTGCATGTAGTGTTAAGAATACTAGGCAAGAATGAGTAGATTAGGTCAAGATGGGGGTACAAGGCTAGAATGTTGAGAGAAATTCCGTACCCCCTAAAAGCTAGCCCCAATAAAGCCTAACTAACAAAAAACATATAGTTTGACACACCCCCATAGGCGAAATGGTGGATAGCCAGAGCAAAGACAATGGTCACAAGACCAGTCAAGAGAAGAAACAAAGCATACCTCAGGGTGGATCACAAAGTCACCACACACATTGAGCACAAGCAAGAGGCTACAAGGCCAGTTCACATGCAGAGCACAAGCAATACAGTGATCACAACCTAGCAGCTGTAAGCATACAGGAATATATATAGATCACAGTACAGGCAAAGCCTACAGCAAGTGAGGAAACGTAGGCACAAGGCCCAACAAAGTACAAAAGCGCTGATGATCACCAGGCGGAAGTGCCTTGGTGAATATATCAGCTGTGTTGGCCGTGGCCACGTAAGCAAGAAGAAGCTGACCACGCTGCTGCAACTCTCGAGCCAGGAAGTTACGCAGAGCGATGTGCTTCGTTCTGTGATTCAGTCTGTGATCCTGACACAAGGCAATGGCGGCCTTGTTGTTGACGTACAGCACTGGAGGAGAACGAGGCCGCTCTCCCAGGTCGGTCAGCAGATAGGTGAGCCAGCGTAACTCCTGTGCAGCCATGGCTGTGGCGTAGATCTCAGCCTCACAACTGGAGACGAGAACGGAAGACGAGCGTGTAGAACGCCAAGAAACAGAGCCAGAGCCAAGGCTGAAGGTGTAACCCTGTGACGGCCGCTGCGTAGCCTGGTCGTCAACCCAAGAAGCGTCCGAGTGACTAGTGAGGACAACGTCGCCCCTCCCTCCAAGCATGAGCCCCATGCCTGATGTACTGCACAAGTAGCGCAGTACCCTCTTCGCAGCATCCATATATTTCTTTTGGTGCCTACCAGGAGCCATGTAGCGGGCCAGCAGGCCAAGAGGGTACGCAAGGTCAAGACGAATGCAGCTCATTAGGTACATAAGGCAGCCAACTAACTGTGGGTAAGGACCACTCGGCTCTATGGACTCGTCAGAAGGTGGAGCTGAGAGCGAGTGACCTGTAGCCAGAGGAGTGGCCTGTGCTGAGGACCTGCTGCACCATGTGTGACTGAGTCTGTGTGATGGTGCGGCGTGCTCTGTCCCGGATGATCCACAAGCCAAGATAGCTGCGCAGCTCACCCAGGTCTGTGCACATGTGTCTCTTCTGCAGCTCCGACTTCACCAGGGCAAAAGCCTCAGTGTCAACAGTGGCAAAGACCAAGTCGTTGACGTACACGAGGATGTAGAACAGCGGCAGCGAAGTGTCAGTGCGCAGAAACAGTGACGGGTCAGCAGTCGATGGAGCAAACCCAAGAGCCGTAAGTGTCGTCCTCAGTGTGTCGTGCCACTCACGCGGCGCCTGACGGAGACCGTAGACTGGCCGCCGGAGGCTCCATTGGGTACCAGGAGGGAACGAACCAGTGAAGCCAGGAGGGCGGCGCAGCCAGATCTCCTCGTGCAGGCTACCCTGTAAGAAAGCAGTGCTGAAGTCAAGAGAGTGAAGCTTGTAGTCACGCTGAGCAGCAACGTGTAGCAGCACCCAAAGAGTGGTCATCTTTCGGGTGGGGGAGAAGGTCTGGAAGAACTCAACTCCCTCTCGCAGACTGAAACCTCGAGCAACGTAACGAGCCTTGAAGACAGGCGGAGAACCTGGCGGCCGCTTCACCATGAAAATCCACATGCCATTGATGATGTTCGCCCCAGGAGGGGGAACCTCATCAATGTAGGTGTCTGTGGACTTCCAAGATGCCATCTCTGCGTCCATGGCTGTCTGCCACTGAGAGGAGTACTCACCCGCGATCGCCTCAGCGTAAGAGCGCTGGGTCGGGATGTCTTGAGCATCCGGGTCTCCCTCAGGGGCAAGCAGCATGGACACGAGATGAGGCGCAGCGGCTACAAGACACTCAAGGTCCTCCTACCTGTCCTCAAGGACATCCGTGCCTAGAGCACACTCACCCTCGACGGACGGAGGACCGACAGACTCAGACTCAGCAACAAGACTAGCGGCGTAGTCTACACGACAGGCAGCAGCAAAGTCGACAAGCTCAGCTACTAGGGCGGACGCAACAATGGACTCAAACGACGGGTCGGTGACAATAGTGGCTAACAGACGCGTGATCGTAGGGTGCTCAGTACAAAACTGGTCAGACTCAGGGTCAGCAACGACAGGCAGAGAGGAGTCAGGAGGAGATGGCAAAGGAACACAAGGCGAAGAAGAGGAAAGACGACGGACTACAAGGTGGGTGCCTGGAACAGCCCACTGACGCTGACGAGGAACATGACGACCAGAACGGGCAGGCGAGACAGGACGCGACGCAGGCTCACGACGCTTAGCAAGACCTCTTGACTGCTTAGTGTAAGGAGAAGGTGCAAGCAGGGGTAAGCCAGGCTGTAACGAAAGACCTGTAGACGACGGGAGGCTAAGAACCTGGCGAAGCACGGAGGGAGGCGGTGGTAGAGACGACGGAGAAGGCGGAGCAAAGAACAGGCATGGCTATGCAGTGCTACCAGCACCAGCGGCTCCAACACCCTCAGTAGCTCCAGCACCCCCAGCAGCTCCAGTACCTCCAGCAGCTCCAGCACCCTCAGCAGCTCCAGCACCCTCAGTAGCTCCAGCACCCTCAGCACCTCCAGTACCCTCAGCAGCTCCAGCACCCTCAGCAGAAGCACCCCCAAAACTAGCACCTCCAGTCCTAGGGTCACCAGCCTCAGTGCCTCCAGCAGCAGCACCCCCAGACCAAGGGTCTCCACCAGGAGTACCCTCAGGCTCAGCAGCACCTCCAGCCCCAGCAGCTCCAGTACCTCCAGTAAGAGTACCTCCGAGACCAGCACCACTCCGAGCTCCAGTAACGGCAGTAGAAGTACCTCCAGCAGCAGAACCCCGAGCTCCAGAAGCGCGACCCTGACGGCGACCGTACCAGTCGTGCAGCTGCTGTGGGGTGAGAGGTACACGCGCACGAAGACGGGTACTCCAAGGAGACCGCGGAGCAGCAGTCTCAGCACCCCTAGACTCAGCACCCCCAGGCTCCGCACACGCAAGCTCAGCACCCCCTGACTCCACAGGCTCAGGCTCCGCACCCCCAGGCTCAGCACCCCCAGGCTCAGCACCCCCAGGCTCAGCACCCCCAGACACAGCACCTCGAGCAGGACTACCCCCAACAGGACCTGAGTCACCAGTGACCTCCATAGGCGCAGGCACGGGAGGGTCTACCTGAGAAACACCTGAAGGAGCACGACCTGGCGCGGGGAGGGGGTCTACCTGGGGAGGACTTGGAGCGAGAAAGAGCGGCGGTCTGATCAGTCAGCACTGCAAGCTCATGACGGATCTGCTCGTAATCTCGAGGACGCATAGAACGTGTCAAATTATAATGTTGTCTAGGCTTTAGTGGGGTAGCCCATATGGGGTACACATTTCTAGGGCTGCATATTTGTATCACTTTCATTCCATAGTCAATCCTTTCTCGTTCTAATTTCCTCATGGTATCAAGCAGGTTCCCCCATGGGAACTGTGCCTAGGGCCCACCACATCGAGTTTTTTTTCCTGCCCGAAGCGCGCTCAGCCCGAGTCGCGCTCCGGGCTCTCACTTCGTCGAGCCGCCCTAGCGGCCCTAACGCCCTAGCTGCCCCGCAGCCCGTCGATTCGGCCCCGCCGCCCTTCGTTGCGGCCCCGTTGCCCTTCGCTGCGGCCCCGCCGCCCTTCGCTGCAGCCCCGCAGCCCTTCACTGCGGCCCCGCCGCCCTTCAATGCGGCCCCGCCGCCCGTCTCAGCGGCCCCGCCGCCCTTTGCTGCGGCCCCGCCACCTCTCTCGCTGCGGCCCCGCCGCCCTGCTCAGCGGCCCCGTCACCCTTCGCTGCGGCTCCCCCGCCTTTCGCTGCAGCCCCGCCGCCCTTCACTGCGGCCCCGCCGCCCTTCTCAGCGGCCCCGCCGCCATTCGCTGCAGCTCCGCCGCCCTTCGCTGCAGCCACGCCGCCCGTCTCAGTGGCCCCGCCGCCCTTCTCAGCGGCCCCGCTGCCCTTCACGGCGGCCCCGCCGCCCTTCACTCCGGCCTCGCCGCCCCTCCCACTGCGGCCCCGCCCCCTACCAGCGGCCCTACCGCCCTCCACCGCCTGCGCCGCCCGAGCCGCCCGAGCCGCCTGAGCCGCTGAGGATCCGAGCCGCCCAAGCCGCCCGAGCCGCCCGACCTACCCGAGCCGCCCGAGCCGCCTGAGCCGCTAAGGAGCCGAGCCGCTCGAGCCGCCCCACCCGCCCGAGCCGCCCGAGCCGCCTGAGGAGCCGAGCCGCTGGTGCCGCAGTTGCTGCTGAGCCGTCCGAGCAGCCGTGTTGCCGTGTTGCTGTGCTACTGAGCTGCCCAAACCGCCCTGTCTGGTGAGAGCAGCGCTTCTGTCACTGCACTACCCCTCTCCTACAGCTGGTACTGCTAGTCTACTACTGTCATGGCTACCCCTAGTGTCCTCGCGTTTGACACTGAGGGTCGAGCCATTGACTTTGAGGTCTAGGTCGACGACCTGCAGTTGTTCTTACAGTGCGATAGGGCAGACGGTCTCTCTCTCTTTGACCTCACCTCTGGCGCCTCTCCTGCCCCTACTGCTGATGCTGACCCCACTGTTCGCTCCCAGTGGGCCACGCGCGATGCTGCAGCACGTCTTGCTGCTCAGACCTTGTACGACGCTATAGTTGCGCGCTACTCTTCCCCTGCCACTGCTGCACTGAGCCGCCTCATGCTACCGTACCTCTTCCCTGACCTTGCTACCTTTCCCACAGTTGCTGACCTTATTACGCGCCTCCACACTAGTGACACTCGCTACCGCGCCGCGCTTCTTGCTGAGTTCTGCGCCAAGAACCCCCCCCCCCCATGTACATCACTCTCTATTATATAGTCACCCGCCTCCCTAACTCCCTTCATGTACTCAGGGACCACTTCCTCTCAGTCTGTCCCACCACTCTCACTGTTGACCTCTTAGAGAAGGCCCTCCTAGCAGCGGAGAAGAGCATAGTCGCTGTAGGAGCCTCTCGTGGTGACCCTCGCACCCCCATCTTTGAGGGGTGTTCTCCTTCCCCCCTTTTGCCCTCTGTCGCCTCTGCCGCTGCGACCGACCTCGTTGGTCTTGAGTCGGTCGGTGCGGCGTCTGCCCCTAGTAGGAGATGCCGCTCTGGCAAGGGCAAGGGAGGCAAGGGCGCGGGTGGAGCTAGCGGGGGCAGTGGAGGTGGCGGTGGAGGCGGCGGAGGGAGTGGGGGTGGCGGTGGGAGTGGTGGCGGGGGTGGAGGTGTCGGTGGCAGCAGTGGAGGCGGAGGCGGCGGCGGTGCTAGCGGAGGCGGCGGTGGTGGCGGAGGTGGAGGAGGCGGTGGTGGAGGAGGTGGAGGTGGTCCGGGTGGCGCTGCGCAGCGGAGCAGCCCTGGCGGTGGTCAGCGCCAGCAGCAGCAGCAGCAACGTTCTCGGGACATCCCCCCCCCCTCAGCAGCTCCGTGTGTGGTACGCGCAGCGTCAGCGTGGTGGGGGTTTTGGTCCGTGCACCTACGTCCTTAGCTCCGGCGACCGCGCGGGTGAGCAGTGTGGGGGTGCCCACCCCACCCAGCGCTGCTCTGGCCGCCTGACGGACGCTTGGCGCCAGCAGTTCCCGGAGGCCAGTAAGATCCCCCGCTGGGGAGAGCTTTCTAGGGCATGCGTAGCTATCTATGATCTTGACTTTGATGCTATCCTTGCTGCCATGTATGTTGTGACTATTAGTGATGAGGGTGACTGTTACCGATGTTTCCCGCCCAACCCGGAGAATGGTATTGCTGCTCTAGGTGATGGTGAGGCTGCTGCTCTAGGTGCCAGTGCGTCTGCGCCCTCAGGTGCTGGTGAGTCTGCGCTCTCAGGTACCAAGTCGACTTCGGCCTCCCTCACCTTTACACTTGACTCAGGGGCTTCTCGCTCCTTCTTTCGAGACCGCACCACACTCACGCCGCTTGGTCGGCCTGTTGCAGTCTCCCTGGCAGACCCCTCTGGGGGTTCTGTCCTCTCTCACTTCTCCACTGTCCTCCCGTGTCCGGCTGCCCCCTCTGACACCTTCTCTGGTCTTTACCTTCCCTCGTTCTCTACGAACTTGGTGAGTGGTGCTGACCTGCAGGATGCGGGGGCTCACCAGTTTACTCCTGCGAGTCAGCGGGTGACCCACTGCTCAGACGCTCGCACAGGCCGGCTTGTGGCCACGTTTACGCGTCGGCCGGGGTCGAGCCTCTACACCCTAACCACTGAGTCTCCTCCTGTCCCTGCGTCTAGCCAGGTAGCTGCGTCGGGTCAAGTGTTTGCTGCAGCGTCCAGATCTGGTCTTGAGTCTGCCCCCTGCTCGTGTCGCCTCCTGTCTCACGAGACTCTCCTCTGGCACCACAGTCTTGGTCACCCCTCCTTGCTTCGTCTTCAAGGCATGGCTTCCCGTGTCCTTGTCTCTGGTCTCCCCCGGTCCCTCCCTCCCCTTCCTCTAGGGCCTGGTCCTTCCTGTGCTCCCTGTGTCGAGGGGCTGCTCTGGGCTGCCCCTCACTCTTCTCAGTTTCCCCCGACAGAGGCCCCAATGCAGACGCTTCACATGGACGTGTGGGGCCCGGCCCGCGTCCGTGGACAGGGTCACGAGCGCTACTTCCTGCTGGTGGTTGACGACTACTCGGGTTACACCTCAGTCTTCCCCTTGCGCACAAAGGGTGATGTCACTAAGGTGTTGATCGACAGGATCCGCACAGCTTGTCTCCAGCTCAGGAGGAGCTTCGGCTCGGACTTTCCTGTTCTGCGTCTGCACTTAGACCGAGGCGGAGAGTTCTCCTCTGGCCTTCTGCGAGCCTACTGCCGTGCGCGAGGCATCCGCAAGACCTTGCTTCCGGACTCTCCACAGCAAAATGGGATTGCTGAGCGCCGCATTGGCATGGTCATGGATGTCGCTCGTACATCCATGATGCATGCGGCTGCCCCCAATTTTCTGTGGCCGTTTGCGGTTCGGTACGCGGCGCATCAGATCAACCTTCACCCAAGGGTCTGCATGCCGGAGACTTCCCTAGCTCTGCTGTGGACGGGGAAGGTAGGCAATGCGTCTGCGTTTTGTGTCTGGGGATCTCGGGCGTTTGTCCGCGACTTGTCTGCGGACAAGCTGTCCCCTCGTGCTGCTCCTTGTGCCTTCCTTGGCTTCCCCCATGACGCACCAGGGTGGCAATTCTACCACCCCTCCTCTCGTCGTGTTATGTCCTCCCAGGACGTCACGTTTGATGAGTCGGTCCCCTACTTCAGTCTCTTCCCCTACCGCACTCCTTCCCTCCCCCGCCGCCGCACTTCCTTGTGCCAGGTCCCCCTAAGGTAGACCCCCTCCCCCCTCAGTTTCGTGCCCCTTCAAGTGTGTCCGAGGTAGACGCAGTCGAGCCGGTCGAGGTTGCTGGTGACTCTGGTACTACTGCGGGTGCTGAGCCTGGGGGTGCTGACTCTGGGGGTGCTGCGCGAGTGGGTGCTGAGCCTGGGGGTGCTGACTCAGGGGGTGCTGCGCGAGTGGGTGCTGAGCCTGGGGGTACTGAGCCTTGGGGGTGCTACGACTGGGGGTGCTGAGCCTGGGGGTCCTTTGCCTGGGGGTGCTGCGTCTGGAGCTGCTGAGCCTGGGGGTGCTGCGTCTGGAGCTCTTGAGCCTGGGGGTACTGAGTCTTGAGCTGCTGAGCCTAGTGGTGCGGAGCCCGCGGCCGCTGGACCTGCTCGTGTGGAGTCTGGCGGTGCTGGGCCTGGTGGTTCTCCGGGTGCTTCGTCTCGGCGGGAGCCACTCTCTCCACAGGAGCTGCGCGAGTGGTTTGCACGGCGCTGGAGGCGTACTGCTGGAGCTGGTGCTTCTTCGGCTGCTGAGGGTGCTGGTGCCGCCGGTCTCGGAGGTGCTAGCCCCAGGAGTGCTGGAGCTGCTGGGCCTGCGAGTGCGACTGGAGTCAGAGGTCCTGAGGGTGTTGGTGCTGAGGCTACTGCTGTCAGTCCTAGCGCCGGTCCTACTGCGGGTGCTGCTGGTGCTGCTAAAGGTACTGGAGCTGGAGGTGCTGTTGGCGCTGGTGCTCCCACTGGGGGTGCTGGTGCTGTCCCTGCCGTATCTGGAGTCGCTGCGCGGCCTCAGCCGTACTTTGCTCCGCTCCTTCAGCAGGTTCTTGGTCTTCCTCCTCCCTTAGAGTGTCCATTTCCTGTCCAGTCACAGTCACAGTTACCGCCGGCCTCCCCACTGCCTGCTCCTTCTCCCTACACTGGTCCTACTGGAGGTCTTGCTGAGCGTCGTGAGCCTGCGTCTCGACCTGCGTCGCCTGTTCGTGCTGCTCGCGCTAGTGGTCACGGTTCGCGTCAGCGTCCTCCTCCTGTCCCTGGCACGCACCGGATGTCTCTGCGTCCATCCACTACTCCTCTGCGTGCCCCTTTGACTTCTCCTCCTGAGTCCTCTCTTCCTGCCCTGGCCGACCGGGAGTCGGACTCTCTTCGTACTACCAGTCCTACTGTCACGCGTCTCCTTGCTAATGTCGTCACTGACCCCTCATTAAAGTCCACTACTGCGTCTGCTCTTGTTGCTGAGCTCGTCGACTTTGCTGCTCGCTGTCGTCAAGACTACGCTGCTAGTTTCGTTGCTGAGTCTGCGTTTGTCTGTCCTTCGTCCGTCGGGGGTGAGTGTACTTTTGGCACGGACGTCCTTGAGGACAGGCAGGAGGAGTTCCAGTGTCTGGCTGCTGCTTCACCTCATCTCGTGTCCGTATGGCTTACCCCTAAGGGAGACCCGGATGCACTTGACATCCCGACTCCGCGCTCTTACGCGGAGGCCGTAGAGGGTCCCTACTCCTCTCAGTGGCATGCAGCTATGGATGCAGAGATGGCTTCCTGGAAGTCCACAGGCACCTACGTTGACGCGGTTCCCCCACCTGGGGCGAACATCGTCAATGGCATGTGGATCTTCAGGGTGAAGCGGCAGCCGGGCTCTCCGCCTGTCTTCAAGGCGCGGTACGTGGCTCGTGGCTTCAGTTAGCGGCAGGGAGTTGACTACTTTCATACCTTCTCTCCCACCCAGAAGATGACCACTCTTTGGGTGCTGCTACACATAGCCGCTCAGCGCGACTACGAGCTTCACTCTCTTGACTTCAGCACTGCTTTCTTGCAGGGTAGCCTACACGAGGAGATCTGGCTGCGCCATCCACCTGGCTTCACTGGGACTTTCCCTCCTGGCACCCAGTGGAGCCTCCGACGGCCAGTCTACGGTCTCCACCAGGCACCGCGCGACTGGCACGTCATACTGAGGACTACGCTTGCGGCTCTTGGGTTTGCTCCCTCTACTGCTGGCCCGTCATTGTTTCTACGCACCGACACCTGTTTGCCGCCGTTCTACATCCTCGTGTACGTCAACGACTTGGTCTTTGCCACTGCTGACACTTCTGGACTCGCCCACGTAAAGTCCGAGCTACAGAAGAGACACACGTGCACAGACATGGGTGAACTGCGCAGCTACCTTGGCTTGCAGATCACCCGAGACAGAGCGCGCCGCACCATTACTGTGACTCAGTCACACATGGTGCAGCAGGTCCTTCAGCGCTTCGACTTCACGTACTCCTCGCCTCAGGCCACTCCTCTGCCTACTCGCCACTCGCTCTCAGCTCTGCCTTCGGATGAGTCCGTAGAGTCGAGTGGCCCGTACCCAGAGCTTGTTGGCTGCCTCATATACCTGATAACCTGCACACGACCTGACCTTGCATACCCTCTTAGCATTCTTGCACGCTATGTTGCTCCTGGGAGACACAGACCAGAGCACATGGCTGCAGCGAAGAGGGTGTTGCGCTACTTGTGCAGTACGTCGGGCATGGGGCTAGTGCTTGGAGGGCAGAGTCAAGTGGTCTTCACTGGGCACGCGGACGCTTCTTGGGCTGATGACCAGGCTACGCAGCGGTCGTCATAGGGTTACACCTTTAGCCTTGGTTCCGGCTCTGTTTCGTGGCGGGCTACCCGCTCGTCTTCTGTTCTCGGCTCCAGTTGTGAGGCTGAGATCTACGCCGGGGCCATGGCTGCACAGGAGCTTCGCTAGCTCACCTACCTGCTGACAGACCTTGGAGAGCCGCCTCGTTCTCCTCCAGTCCTGTACGTAGACAACAAGGCCATGCTGGCCTTGTGTCGAGAGCAGAGACTGGAGCACAAAACAAAGCACATTGCTCTTCGCTACTTCCTTGCTCGTGAGCTACAGCAGCGTGGTCAGTTGCGGCTTGCGTACGTGGCCTCTGAGGCCAACACTGCTGATGTTTTCACCAAGGCACTTGCGCCTTGTGATCATCAGGGCTTCTGTACTCAGCTTGGTCTTGTGCCTGTCTTGCCTCATTTGCTCACTTCTTGACCTTGCTTGTACTCTCACATATATATACTCCTGCTCTTGCTTGCTTAGCCTCTTATATATATATATATGTGCTCGTGCATGTGAACTGGCCTTCTGGCCTTGAACTTGTGCTCGAAATGTGTGGTGACTTTGTGATCCACCCTGAGCTTTGCTTTGTTTTGCTTGACTGGTCTTGTGACCCCTAGTTCTCCCCCACTTTGCCTATGGGGGTGTTTCAAATTATAACGTTGTCTAGGCTTTAGTGGGGTAGCCCATATGGGGTACACATTTCTAGGGTTGCATATTTGTATCATTTTCATTCCATAGTCAATCCATTCTCGTTCTAATTTCCTCATAACGCTTTATTTTAAGCAGCCCCGTGTGACTTCCCAAATCGTCCTTTTCCTTCCCGCGATGTAGGAACCCTTTAGGAACTTTGTCTTCTCTGAGTCGGAAAAAATGAGTCAATTTCCTTTTCGGAGCAAGAGATGCAAAAACTAGATAGGGCAGGAGTTTGGCGGATGATATCCTCTAGATGGATACGACAGCTGCTGTTACTAGCAACAAGCAAGCTGAGGCAATCAATAGACATCTAGAAATCCATGGGGTTTTACTAGTAAGGCCACCGGTGCCACTGCAACTGGAATTCCGCGAGCAACGGACATGATATCATGCGGAGAGGGTTTCCCGCTTGGTTTTCGGTTCCGGCCGACAGACGAGGAGCTGCTGTGTTACTACCTTAGGCGGCGCGTAGAGGGCCTTCCCATCGCATGGACATCTCCAAAAAGTGGCGGACCCTAGCTTGACCACTCGAAATGTACAACCCCCAGGTGACTACACGGTCACCTGAACCTCACCCAAAGGTGACCCCCAGGTCAAGTGCAGCGCAACACGACCCACACGTTACCTTTGGGTCAGTAATTCCGTCGGCAATCTCGCGCCTAACCAAAATATAACCCCAACCTAACCCCGGGCCGCACTTACGAAAGCTCCGAGCCGCCATTGCATCTAACATTGGCGAATAGTCGGGCTTCGTTTGTCGAATCGCTTAAAAAGTCGTGATTGACCAATCGCAAAGCACGATTCTTGTGGTCGCTTCGCCTTGCAGACATCGACCAATCTGGTGCGTTGAAATCCAATAAATGAAATTGGACCCAACTGTAACTTAACAACACCTGCACAACAATTCAAAAACGTTATATATTCCAACACGTGGCCAGCATAAAAAAATATGTATAGTTTAGCGCAATCATTACAAATGTATTCCCAGTTGTTATGCGTGCAATTGAGTGAACGACAAGAATTGCACTATCGAAGCAAGAATACAAATGAGCGAAGGCATGAGCGAACATTATATAGCAAAACTATAGTGGTAACGGTAATGGTCGCGCGATGAGCCTGGGACTGAGGTTGGGAAAGTGTCGAAGCGTAGGCACGGAGCGCGGGTTACCAGCCGAGCCGTGAGGTCGGGATGCGATGTGCGAAAAAGGGCGGGATGATGAATGATGCGATGGTCGCGAGTGGTAACGGTGCTGACTGAGGTGCTACAGTGATGTGCGCGTTGAGCAGGGACGCGAAGTAAGGAAAAGGGAATTTCCTTACACTACCCCCCCTCCTAAGAAGGTCCTCCTTATGAAAGCGCGTGGATGTCTCGGAAATTGCGGCTACGTAGGTAGTCGGTGACGACGGGGTGATTTTCAATTTTCTCCAGGGGAACCCAATTGTCCTCGATGGGGGTACGATCTTTCCAGCGGATCAGAAACACCACTTTTCGGGCTCCTCGAGGGTCGCGAACTCTGTGGCTCAGGATCTTGTCGGGGGTGATGACTGGTTCGGTTGGTGGTCGTGTCATGCTGGTGGGTCGATATCGTGGGAGTTGGCTGGTGGTTGGCACGTAAGGGCGAAGTAAGCTGACGTGGAACGAGGGGCTGACGTACTAGTCAGCCGGGAGGAGGAGGTGCGCGGTGACTGGCGTAACCATGTGACTGATTCGAAATGGCCCACAGTATCGAGGGCGGAGTTTTGGAGTGATGGGCAGGCGGAGGTTCTGAGTGTCGAGTAGAACGAGGTCGTCGGGCTGATAAGTAACGCGTCTGCGATGGCGATCGGCGTTGCGTTTAGCGATGATGTTTGATTTTTTGATTGCTTCTGCTGCCCTGGTCCGTGCTGCTTGCAGAATCTCGGCGAACTGTTGTGCTCGTGGGACGGGGTTGTCGGGATTCGATGTCATGGGTACTGTTGGGTCCTGTCCGTAATTCAAGTAGAACGGCGACTGTTGCGTCGTGGCTGATGGTGCGTTATTGTATGCGAACTCGATGAGTGGCAGCTGCTGTTCCCACGTATTCGGATCGTCGCACGTGGCTCGAATCAGCTGCTCCATGGTCTGATTTGTCCGTTCCGTTTGTCCGTCGGTTTCGGGGTGATAGAATGAACTGAACTGTAAGCGTGTGCCGAAGTGCTGCCACAGGTTTCGCCAGAAGTTGCTTGTAAATTTCGTGTCCCTGTTGCTGATGATCGATGCGGGTATCCCGTGCAGTCGAACGACGGTGGTGATGAAGAGTCGGGCGGTTTCCTCGGCTGTGATTGATTTCCTGCATGCTGCGAAATGAGCCATCTTCGTTAGTCGATCGACGACGACCAGGATCGCGTCATTCCCACTCGCCCCAGCTGGTAACCCCGTGACGAAATCCATCGTCACCTGCTGCCAAGCACGCTCTGGGGGCGGGATGGGTTGCAATTGTCCCGCCGGCCACTTCCTGCTTGACTTCATGAGCTGGCAAGTAGTAATACCGCTGCAGCTGCTGCCGTGTCTTTTCTACCCCGAAATGTCCCGAGGTAACTCCGTCGTATGCTTCCTGTAACAGTAGTTCCCGTAGTAGCGTGTATCCTGGTACCCAGATGCGGTCGGTCCCAGCTTTTACGTAATAGACTCCTTTTGCCGCTGCGAATTGCTGTGAGTTGCCTATTGTAAAGAACGGGTCTGTTTGATATCCGTGGGTAAATAGGCCTGTCAGTGGCGGGCTGGTCTGGGCGAGTAGTATCGCGTGGATCTGGGCAGTGGGGCGGGTCAGTGCGTCGGCGATATTCGAGGCTCCTGTTTTGTATGTGACCGTATAGTGAAAATTCGACTCGAGGAAATCGAGCCATCGAATCTGTCGTGGGTTGAGGTGGGGCTGTGCGCGGAGGTACTGTAGAGATCGATGGTCTGTCCGTACTGTCACGTTTGCGCCGGTCAAGTAGCAGCGCCACACTTTGAATGCGTGCACGATCGCGAGCATTCCGCGGCCGTGTATCGTGTAATTTCGCTCAGGCGGATGTAGTTTGCGTGATTCGTAGGCGATGGGTTGGAGGCCGTTGCCGAAGTCCTGTAACAGTACAGCTCCGATGGCGATGTCACTTGCGTCGGTAACCACTTCGAAAGGGCGGTGGGGGTCAGCGATGCGTAGAACGGGTGGTGAACAGAGAACGTTTTTCAGGGCAGAGAAGGCAGCATGCTCTTTCTCCCCCCATGTAAAAGCGACCCCTTTACACAGTAAATCAGTGAGTGGGGCTGTTAAATGTGCCATGTCGGGCACGAACCGTCGAACGTAATTAACAAAACGTAAAAAACTCTGCAGTTCCGTGATGTTCGTCGGGGGGCGCCACGCTTTTACCGTATCCAGCTTCTTCGGGTCAATCTCAACCCCAGCCTCCGAAATGACGTGACCCAAAAACTCTAGCCTGTCCCGAAAAAACTTGCACTTCGAGCCCTTGGTGAGTAGTCGATGTTCCTCCAAAACTTTAAAAACTGCTTCAAGATCCACTAAGTGCTGCTGCTTATCCCGGCTGTAAACTAGAATATCGTCCAGGTAAACAATTACGCATTTATCTAAAAGTGGTCTAAACGCCTCGTTCATGGTCATCTGAAATGTCGCAGGCGCGTTCGTCAACCCGAATGGCATTACTGTATACTCGAATGACCCGTACCTAGTCCTAAATGCTGTTTTGGCGCAGTCCGATGGTTCGACCCGAATCTGATGGTAACCTCCCCGTAAATCTATTTTCGAAAAGACTCGTGCTGTTCGCAGTTGGTCGATCACTTCGTCGGCGCGAGGGATGGGGTATCGCGATTTGACTGTTACCCTGTTGAGCGCTCGGTAGTCGATGCACATGCGGAACCCTCCGTCTTTTTTCGGTGTGATTAGTATCGGTGCGGCGAACAGTGACGAGCTCGGTCGGATAAACTGCTTCTCTAACAGGTAATCTAACTGCTTCCTTAACTCGTCGAGCTCGGGCTGTGTCAGTCAAAATTGGCGCTGTACAGTTGGTTGTGCCCCCGGTTCTAACTCGATCCTATGGTCGTGCGCCCGCTGAGGTGGCAGTCCCTGTGGTAAATCATCCGGAAATATCCCCGGGAACCGTTTCAGTAGTGCTTGTAGTTCGGTCGATACAGCTGCCAGCAGTTTCTCCAAATCACTCGGCTGCTCATCTTTTTCTACGAGTGCGATATCCACTGCGTACACGTCAGCTCCAACAGCGACAGCCCGTTTCATCGTGATGGCGTTGACCTAGAACGTCGAAGATTTGGGTGGCTGCCAGCGAGGTAGAACGAC